ATGCGCGCTCGCATCACCATTACACTCAGAGTGAGAGCCAGCTGGAAACATCTCAAGTCACCCGAGGCTTAGGCCAAGCAAGGTGCTGTGCCTTGAGCGTCTCTTTCGCTCTCGCCTTCTCAGCAGGGGGTAGACGGCCCGGCACGTCCTGGCCTGGGGCAAGTCCGAGCATGATCGCTCGCTCGCCGACCTTCTGCGACACAGCGTGCCTGCACCCATTGAGAGAGGCCCCCCCCTGCGACAGCTGACCGACGCAGACCCCGCAGCGGAAGACGTAGCCGACCTCCAAAGCTCGCATCCAACGCAAGCGCGCAAGAACGACCTCGTCGCTCTCAACGGCGACCGACCCCTCGCCTCCTGCGCGCGGCGACTGGGCCGGCGGCGGCGGGGCGTCAGGGGCAGGGCGGCCGCTGCTGGATAAAGCCCCACCAGCCGATGGCGCGGGCCCTCGGACGCCACCTTCATCCTCATCCACCGCGCCAGCGGCCTGCACGATGGCGCCGTCTTCCTCGGTGCCAACATCGGCTGGCCAAGCAATGTCGTCGGGGCCCAGCTCCCGCGCGTGCAGCGCCTCCTCCGATTTGGCCGAAGTCATCGTCAACGTCGCCTCCATCTTCGACGGCGACGCGGTCGGCCTCGTAGTTTGGCCATGGCTCGTCAGCGGGGGGGGGCGGGCCTTCCGCTCCCAGCAATGGCGTCGCGGTAGAAACGCGACGGCCTCCCCGACGAGCTCCCTGCCCACGGCCACCGCCGCCCCCTCGGGCTCGACCGCCCCCTTGCAGGGTGAGGGACATTTACTACCAACCAACCTGTGTGGGGTTCTTGTTTCGGATAGAGCACTGTGGTCGAGTTGTCCTCTTCCCCCCTTTCCTCCCCCACTCTAATGCCCCCTACTTCCTGCCTCCTTTCTCCTCTGTTTCTCCTCTTCTCCCATGTTTTCTCTTCCTCCCTCCTTTCTCATCTGTTTTCTCTTCGCCCCCCCCTTCTCTTTCCCTTATCTCTTTCTCCTATGTTTTCTCTTCGTCCCCCCAGAGGCGCGCGAAGCGCGCAACTGTCGCCACTTTCGCAGGCCCCTGGGAGTTTCTGCGTGGAGGAATGGCACGCGGACCCAGCTGGGACCTCGCGGCGCCTTGCGCGGATGCGAAGAGCGCAACTGTCGCCACGTTCGCGGGCCCCTGGGGGGCCCAGCGGAGTAGAGTGGCCCTGCGCGCAACCCCGCCGCGGCGGCCGCCCGACGCCGCGCACTCCGGGCCCGCGCGGCAGTCGCGCCCCGCCCCTGATGTCCGCCAAGGCGGGCGCCCCGCTCTGCAGTCGCCCCCCGCGGCATACATCTCGCCGTCAAGTTCATAGCCGAGGCGGCCACCTCGCTCTGCGCGACCCCTCCCGCGACGGGCGACCCATTGGACGCGCGAGCCGAAGGGCGCGCACCCCGCGCCGCAAAGCTTCTCGAAGCTGGCGCACCACCCTGCGAGGCCCTTTCCAGACGCGCCACCCGCCGCGGGCACACCCCACCAGGATCGCACCCCGCGCCCCGACCCCCCCCCGCAGCTTGCGCGCGCAGACTGCAATGACCCACTGGTCACCTAATGTGCAGCCCCCCACCCAATGTGGGCACCCCACTGTACTATGACCCCTCGCACCTCGGGCATCCTCCCGGCTCGGATGGACCTGGGGTGATGCGCGGTCTGCCGACCCCCCCCGCACCTCGGCCATCCTCCCGGCCGACGATTCGGCGAATGTTGCGAGCGAAGGACCTGGGGTAATGCGCGGTCTGCCGACCCCCCCCCGCGCCTCGGCCACCCCCCCGGCTCGGATGGACATGGGGTAATGCGCGGTCTGCCGACCCCCCCCCGCGCCTCGGCCACCCCCCCGGCTCGGATGGACCTGGGGTAATGCGCGGTCTGCCCGACCCCCCCGCACCTCGGCATCCTCCCGGATTCCGACCTGGGTGTAATGCTCGGGTCTGGCCGCACCCCCCCCGCCGCCCTCGACAACACCCCCCGGCTCGGAAACGAAAAAATACCGGGGCAGTGCGCGGTCTGCCGAGCACCCCAGAACCTCGGCCATGCTGCCAGCTCGGACTACGAGGGCGCGCCTCTCGCGCCCCCCCCCGCCCCCCGCCCCCCCCCTGCCCCCGCGCGTCGCCCGCCGCGGCCGCGGCGCATGCGGGCCCTCGTTCGAAAGCGCGCGCTGGCGGCCCCAAGAGAGACCAGCGCAAGAGCGCGCCTTCTCGGCGATGGATATTGACACTGGAGGGCGCGGCAGCCCCCCCCCCTCCCCCGCGCCCCCCAACGCGCCGCGCGCATTGCTATCCCGAGCAGGTCTGCCCCGAACGCAAGTGCGGGCGGGGAGCAGGGCGCCCATTAGGCCCGCTCGGGGCATTAGGTTGATCGCAGGGGTGCGGCTTCGCGCGGCCGAGCGCGCGCGCGCGCGCGCCCAACAGCGCCCTGCGCGAATGCGCGCCTTCGAGCTGCAATCCGCAGACATGGCTCGGCTGGCGCCGAGGCGCGGGCCCCCGCTGATTGCGGGCCCAAAGAACTAGCTCGCGCCCCGCGCGCGCAACGCGCCGCGCAGCTCCCACGCGGGCGACTCAAAACAGAATGCCGAATGGCTATGTTCAGTTCGAAAACCAACGAACGACAACCTGTTGTTTCTCTCATATTCTGATGCCATAAGCGCCCAAAATGCTGCACTGCGACGCACGCGCGACTTCCCCCTTTCTGCCGGCTTGAGCTCGCCACGTTAGAACAAAGAATGCCGAATGGCCATCCTGAGTTCGAAAAAATGAACCGTGAAGTCCATGTGTGTCACGCGTATTCGCACGGTCCCAACGTAGCTGGACGCAGCGCGATGCAACGCGCAGATCCCAGTGCCCTCGCGCGCGCAGCGCAAGAACCGATGCAGCATGACCACCCTGCGCTCGATGATAAAATGGCGTTCGCCAAATGTTTGGCTCGCACTCCGACGGGGCCCCCGCGCGGAATGATGCGTCGCGACCGAATGCGCGTTCTCAGCGCTCGCGCGCGCGCGTGCCAGCGCTTATGCAGAATCGCCATCTTAATCTCGCAAACCCAATGGTGACAACCAACCGCTTCACTCATATGTTTGAAGCCTCTTCGCGGGAAAATCCAATGTGACACACTGTACTTTGCAGGGTTCCTCGTGCGCGCACAATCAAATGCGCATACTGAGTAGCCACCTTAACCTCGAAAACTCAATGGTGAAAACAAATTGTTCCACCCATAGTCTGGAAGCCTCAACGCAGAAACATACCATGTGTCACACTGCACGTTTCAGGGTTGCTCGTGAGCGCGCGCACGCGCACGCGCGCGCGCAATCAAATGCGCATGCAGAGTAGTCATCTTAGTCTCAAAAACTCAACGGTGAAAACCAATTGTGCCACTCATATTCTGGAGGCCTCAACGTAGAAAAATACGATGTGGCACGCTGTGCTTGTCAGGGTTGCTCGTGCGCGCGCGCTCGCGCGCGCAATCAAATGCGCGTACAGAGTAACCATCTTAAGCTCGAAAACTCAATGGTGAAAACCAATTGTTTCACCCATATTCTGGAGGCCCCAACGCAGAAAAAAAAATAAATAAAAAAAAATGTGGCACATTGTGCGTTTCAGGGTTCCTTGTGCGCGCGCGCCCAATCAAATGCGCATACAGAGTAGCCATCTTAATCACGAAAACGCAATGGTGAAAACAAATTGGTTCACTCAAACTCTGGAGGCCTCAACGCAGAAAAGTACAGTGTGGCACACTGTACTTTTCAGGGTTGCTCGTGCGCGCGCGCGCGCGCACGCGCGCGCGCTCGCGCGCACACTCAAATGCGCATACAGGGTAACCATCTTAAGCTCGAAAACCAATTGTGAAAACCAATTGTTTCATCCATATTCTAGAAGCCCCAGCGTAGACAAATGCAATGTGACACGCTGTGATTTTCATGGTCCCTCGTGCGCGCGCGTGCGCGCACGCGCGCGCGTACGCTCGCGCGCTCGCGCGCTCGCAATCAAATACGCACACTGAGTAGCCATCTCAATCTCGAATGCTCAATGGTGAGAACCATCCGTTTCACTCATATTCTGGGGGCCTCGACGCAGAAACATGCAATGTGGCACGCTGTACTTTCCAGGGTTGCTCCTGCGCGCGCACAATCAAATGCGCATGCAGAGTAGCCGCCTGAAGCTTGACAACTACATGGTGAAAAGCCCACTGTTTCATATGGTGGAAGCCTCTTCGCAGAAAAATGCAATGTGGCACGCTGTACAATGCAGGGTTGCTCGCGCGCGCGCGCACGCGCGCGCAATCAAACGCGCATGTAGAATAACCATCTGAATCTCGAAAACTAACTGGTGAAAACCAATTGTCCCACCCATGTTCTGGAAGCCTCAACGCAGAAGAATACAATGTGGCAGACTGTGCGTTTCAGGGTTGCTCGCGCACGCGCACAATCAAATGCGCGTGTAGAGAGGCCATGTGAATCTCGAAAACTCAATGGTGAAAACAAAGTGTTGCACTCTTTTGCTGGAGGCCCCAACGCAGAACAATACTATGCGGCACACTGCACTGCTCAGGGATGATCGTGCGCGCGCGCGCGCAATCAAATGTGCATACAGAGCAGCCATCTTAACCTCGAAGACTCAATGGTGACAACCAACTGTTTCACTCATGTGCTGGAGGCCCCGTCGCAGAAAAATACATTGTAGCACGCTGTGCGTGTCAGAGTTCCTCGTGCGCGTGCGCGCAATCAAATGCGCATGCCGAGTAGCCATCTGAATCTCGCAAACTCAATGGTGAAAACCAGCAGTTTCACTCATATGCTGGAGGCCCCAACGCAGAAACATACAATGTGACGCGAGGTATTATTCAGGGTTGCTCGTGCGCGCGCGCGCTCGCGCGCGCACAATCAAATGCGCATGCAGAGTAGCCATCTCAGCATTGAAAACTCAATGGTGGAAGCCAACCGATTCACGTACATTCTGGAGGCCTCAACGCGGAAAAAAAACATTGTGGCACGTTGTGCTTTCCAGGGTTGCTGGAGCGCGCGCGCACGCGCACGCGCGCGCAATCAAATGCGCATACAGAGTAGCCACCTTAAGCTCGAAAGCTCAATCGTGAAAACCAACTGTTCCACTCATATTATGGAGGCCTCAACGCAGAAAAATAAAATGTGGCGCATTGTGCTTTTTCAGGGTTGCTCGAGCGCGCGCGTACGCGCACGCGCGCGCGCGCAATCAAATGCGCACACAGAGTAGCCATCTCAATCTCAAAAACTCAATGGTGAAAACCAACTGTTCCACTCATATTCTGGAGGCCCCGACGTGGAATTCAACAATGTGGCAGACTGAACTTTTCAGGGTTGCTCGTGCGCGCGCGCGCACGCGCGCGCATTCGCGCGCGCACGCGCACGCGCGCGCGTTCGCGCGCGCAATCAAATGCGCATACAGAGTAGCCATCTTCAGCTCGAAAACTCAATGGTGAAAACCAATTGTTGCACTCATACTCTGGAGGCCTCAACGCAGAAAAATACAATGTGGCGCAATGTGCTTGTCAGGGTTGCTCGAGCGCGCGCGTGCGCGCACGCGCGCGCTCGCGCGCGCACAATCAAATG